TGTGTGTGTGTGTGTGTGTGTGTGTGTGTGTGAATTCAACATCGTGGTCGCTTGTGTGTGCAATCAGCCCTTTAAAAATAAGCTGTGTGTGTGTTATTCCGTATGTGTGTCTCTGTTTAGAGGACAGCCTGTGTATATTTAGTTGAATATGTGATGAAGGGTGTGCGCGCGTGTGTGCGCATATGAACTTGCCATGAACACTGTGTGTGTTTGTCAGGCCACCGCTTCAGTGTCTGATTGCAATACCAGATGGTTGGATCATTGTGACCTCCCAGTGTGTGGCTCCCTCTACATTGGGGTACACACGTGTGTCTGTGCATGTTCACACTGTTTTGGTTTATAAGACACCCACCTATGCAGGAATACCTGAGAACACATACAATGACAGGATGGGATCACAGATTTAAGCACATTTTTCGTCACCATTTTCCAACATGGGTGTTTTCAAAGGCACATGCTGTTCTCGGGCTGGCTTTTCAAACCGCAAAGTTCGCACACAGTCGTAAAAGTGCAGCCATAAAAGGTCTGCAGACCTGTTTTCGTGTCTCCCTCAGACTCCCAGCCTGGGTGTTTTTCTGTATCTACAACTGTGTGTTTTTGTGTTGAGCGTCAGAAGCTTAGTTTGCCCTGCGGTTCCTCAGAGCAATATTCATCCTAATCCAGTTTTCCAGTGAGTGATGGAGAGAGCCGTTTGCCTTCTACGCCCTCTGAGTCAGAACAGGAGCAGGAGGCAGAGAGGGAGCTAACCCGGTGTCGTGTGCTGTGACTTTGCGTGTCTTTCCAACACCCATCTAATCTTTCAGCAGGATTTTTTGTTTTATGTAACATCAGCCCGATGTGTTTAACTACTTTAGACCTCAGTATTATAGGAGTTTGCATTTATAAAGTATCTTCCTGGTGACTTTATATTAAATTGTGGCTTACAACCGAGCAGCTTCTCTGACTGTTTGGAGACAGATTTGGGATCAGAGTGCATCTAAAAGCCTCCATGCTGACAGTTCTGAAAGGGGAACATCAAATCTCTTTAGTGCCCAGTATTTACACTAACAATACAAACAGTGAGGGCTTTGGTAGTGGGTAGGGTTGCCAGGTTGGATCCTACCTGCAAAAATCTGGGCAGGGGAAGTGACATATGGTGAAACAATGTGGCTAAATGTGTAGAGCATGATGCTCACATTGCCAAGGCTAAGGATGGGGGTATACTTCCAGGGGAAATACAGACAAAAGGACATGTTAGCGGAACACAGTGCTGTTTCGACTGCACAGAGCGCAGGTATGCTGGTCGATGAGCGCAGTCCTTCTCATGCCAACTGCTAGTGTGACCACATAAAAATATGAAAATTTGTGGCGTGCCTTCTCTCTGTTCATGCTAGTAGTTTACTTCTCATCTTGAGGTCATAATGCATAGTTCGGAGTCTCAGCTTGCTCAGTTTGTGGGACCTAAAGGCGTCTGAGCCCACTCGATGGTGATCTAAATTGAAGAAGAATATGAAATTTTTTTGACTGTGTTTCTGTTTCAGGCAAGTTCTTTTTTTTTTTTTTTTTAACTAAGTAGTCTACATTATATATTACTTTTGGGGTGGGGCGGCTCATGTCAGAAACGTTCATAGAAAGCCCATTGAATGTCATGTGTTACACTTTCCCTATTGTCAGCCCCTCACAAGCTACTTTAATCACAGACTATGTCCACTCTAGCCAGTGTAAATGTATCTTCTTTGCTCCATTTTGGCCCTTTATCCTTACTTTTGGCAAAACCAGGGCTCTATGGCAGTAAAATTAAGAGGATTACTTTCTGTTGCCTCTAAATCATAACACAGTAACTAATTTAAAATGTCAAACCAGCCAATAACACAACACAGCTGTTGTCATCAACCTGCATTTATGACATTTTTTTATCAGACGGCTACTGATTTGATTGACGTCTTGGTGAAGCAGCATAGAAGTTGACACTGGCACGTGTTTGATTGGCCACAGCAGGTCCTTGCCAGATGATGTCCCTGATGATGGGCAAAATTTCAGCTAGGTTTAACCTTTTTTTTGACAGGTTGTTTTTGTTTGTTTGTGTTATTTTATTTTGATGGAGCCCTCTGCATTGGCAGATAGACCAGCCTTACTCAAAGTGAATATTTGTTTTTTTAGGCAGGGTGTAAGTCTGTCTGAACACAGCCTTTCTGTTACAAGTTACAACAACTGACTATTTTATACTCTTTCAGTTAATACAATAATACAATACAAAGAAGAAGAAACAAAAGTATGTGAATAAGAACAGCTGAACAGTGAAATTGGTTTTATTAAAACAAAGCTGATCATAAAGAGCAATGGGAGAGAACTGAACAGAGCTTAGCTGAGACTCTGCAGAGTAATCAGGCTGTTAGTTTGTCAAACAAAAGAGAAGGAAGAAGAGATTTAACCAATTTCTTGTTAATTGGGCATTTTAGTGTGGATGGAATCTCCTATCCTTTTCACCTGTAAACTGTGTTTTCAGATTTAGCCAGCTTAGTGTGGACATAGCCTCAGTTACCTGGTGGTTTAGTGGCTGTGGTCGTTGTGGGCAACTCCCAGTTACGAGAGGAGAGGTGGGGCTGATAAGAGTAAACATTCCCGGCGATTCACCCTGTGTTTATTTAAGTGTGCAGAAAGGCTTTTTAAATCACTTGTCACGGAGACTCAGATGTAGTTTCCTTGGAGTCTTTGTCCAGAGAGAGAGAGCGAGGAGGAGGAGGAGGAGGAGAAGTTTTTGGTTTTTTGCCTTGCATAAGTACGTCCACCCTTCTTCCCTTTTGTCTCATCTCACAGACCCTCTTCCTCTTCTCTCTGCTCACTTCCTTTGTGCCTGTGTTAAAAAGGCCGGCAAGCCACTTGTCTCCAAACTTTAGCCTGTTTGCCCTTCAAGATGATGTTTTTTAATGTGTCCATATGTGAGTTCCTTGTGAGCTTTGTGTTTGTTTAGCTCCTACTTTCAACAGCTGTGGCAAATGCAGCCAGAACTTCCATTTCCATGTCCTCCTCTCTCTTTTCCTTCCTACTGTCTGCTGGCTTTTCCCTCTCTCTCTCCCCCACACACATGCAGGCACATGATGCACACACACCTCAGGCTTGATATTCATAGCCTCCTCCTCCTCCTTCACTTGACATGGGAGCCTTAACAGATGTGCTGCAGCCTTGAGCTGCCTCCCCCCCTTCCCTCCCCTCTCTAGTGCCTCATGCTTCACAGATTTACCTTATCTGTTGGTTTGAAAAAAACAAACAAACTGACAGTTAATTTGTCCTCATAATCTAAATTTTATACACAAAATATGACCAATAACGCACCACTGGTTGTACCAGCCTAAGATGTACACCCACTTGGTTACAATATACATTTTGGCTGTCCTCCATCACCTGCACTCAATTTATATTTATACTGCAAAACAAATCTTATATGGGAATATTATGCGTCTCTCTCTCAACAGAGCCTAAACTTTAGATTAGGCCTGATTTGAATGCTTTCCCCTTATTTTGGAAAAAGTTTTAAATGTGTTTCATCATTGATATTAAAATTATTTACCTTATACCTTATTTTTGCTGTTAAACCTATTTCTGTTTTGAAGTTCCAGCGGAGCTTGTGTGTGCGCGTGTGTCGTTGCGTGTATATGTGTGTGCGTGCGTGCGCGCGCAGCCAGTGCCGTGCGCTGGAGGCTTATGGTAATTGCGGTCTCCCGACTGGCCTTCTGGGTAGAGTCTGCGCGAGTGGGAGTGGAGCGAGTGGCTCGGTCTCGGCAGCGTTCATCCATTCTGTGCGGCACTCCCCGTACAGCTCCGTGCGTCCTCGGTGCGAACCGGGGTGTTCTCTACGCTTCTCGAAGAAAACGCGGGACGAAAAGCAACACGGAATAACCTTCAGTAAACCTTCCGAGACACGGATTCCGGTGTCGGAGAGGACATGGAGTGACTGAGAGCGGTAGAAGGGGCTTTTTCCGAGGACGGCGTGCTCCGCTGAAACCCAACATGGCGCTGCTGAGAGGTACGGCCGAGCTGAATTAATTTCTCCGCGAGTCCGCCGACCTCGCCACCTGTATCCTGTGGGGGCCCGGGTCGCACGGCGCCTCGCCGACTTAAAGATCTTTTATGTGGATTTCTCTATATCCTGACATCTGTATTTCCACCGCGCAGGACCTTTTTGTTGCTTTCTGGTAACCCAAGTGACATTTGCAGCAGCAAAAAAAGTCCGTTTGAAATAAAGGGTAGCCTAATGGATGAGAGTTGCCTGTAGACAATAGAACATGGACCGTAAGCTTTATATGTAAGTTGTTACTTGTTTTGATTCCTGACAAGTGGATAACCTGTTAGACACTTTTAGTTCTTTCTTTTCTTCAGTCGGGATTGTCTGTCTCCAGCAGACAGGACCGTAACCGGGCTACGTATACGCACGGATCGCTGTACCTTCTAGTTAACTTGGAAAAACAGGAAAAAGGCGTTGGGGCGCACGGACGGCGGCTGGAACTAGCACCAATCAACCAGGTGAGGCAATCTGTGACAAATCAAAATGTATTTTCTTTGCATGTATCTTTGGCGATGCAAAAAGCGTACACTGCCCTGTGTTTTCCTTTTTAAATAGTAACGTTACCACAGCAGCCAAGATGCTTTAAAATGATGCAGTGTTTTCATATAGTATGTATTAAATCAAAGACTGTCTTTCTGTATGGTTGAGTGTAGACGCGATAGTCCGGTGTTGTGCGCAGAGACGGGAGAGGATCGGCCACTTCTAAGAATAGCGCATAGGGTGGTCTTTGTGCGTTTCGGCGGGGCAGTGGCATGTGGTTGATAAATAACACACGCGCGCACTCACATAATGATCCGACCGTGAGCTTGGCCTTTTTACAACTGTCCTGTCAACCGGGACGGAGGTGAGAAGGACGTCCTAGAGATTAGTGGACTTGTAAGTGGCGCCATCCTCGATGGTGAATATTTCGGCTTTTCGTACTCTTGAGTGACGAAGTGTGATAGTGCCTTTGGGGCGAGGGTGGGAGTGTGTATGTGATCGTGTGCGTGCGCGCACACGGAGCTTCTGCGCTAAACAAGGTTACGGAATTCAGCCTCGCCCTGCCAAAGGGAAGCGAGCGGTGCTGCTCCGTTTATACACGGTTCAGTTCAGTTGGAGGGCATCCCCGCGGTGTGTGTGTGTGTGTGTGTGTTGGTGTGTCAGCTGAGTGTGTGTTCGTGGGGGAGGTGTGTGCGTGCGGGGGGCTTTGTTTGGACAGAGTGGACGTTGATCAGTCGTCTCATCAGTCCCATAGGTGTGGGGGGGGAATGCACCGCTCACCTTCCTGTCTAGTTGATGGAAACCGCTTTGGCATCGTGCCACCTCACACACATACACACGCTCTCTCTTCGTGTCTTGCAGGTGCTCTCCGATATGACTTTGCGCCACAGTATGCGGTCTTCCACTCTCGTTCTTGCACGCAGGCTTGCTGTGCCACTAGTCTTTGCTTTGGGGGGGGGGGGGGGGGGGTATATCCTTTGCGCACGGAGGATCTATGTAGCACCAGTTAGGGCCCCTCTCCCCTGCAGCTCCGGTACGCACTGTTTGAGGGAGAAAGTGCCACTTATTACTGTCACTATGATTTCTTCATTGCTTGAATAACTTGGGGAGCTTTTGACGAATTTAAAACCACTGCGATTCACCTTTAATCCAATCCAGGAATACGCTACTCCACCATTATCAACTTTAAAAGATTTATTTTTACTTTTTCTATAGCCTAGTCCTCTTCCCCCTGCACCATTGTGGGCGGTTGCGATCAGTGTGAACCACTTATAAAGTTGCTATTTAATTGAAATAAATGCTGCAAGGCTTGTTGGATATGTTCCAAACGGAATGGTCTTTCCTAACAATTATTTAAAGCTCCTGCTCACTAGGTAACCTGCATTTCAGACCAGTAAAACAGCATTTAAACGAGGCATCTGTCTTTAAATGACTTTGTCTGGACCGCACTCTCCATCGCAGGAAAACTGCTCATATCGGGGTAGTTTCCTCCCGTGTCGCCGTGCCTGCTGCATGTTCTGGAGCCACACAGGCACTAATTAGGGGATGCTCTCTTAGGACGATCGATGTGCCTCATATTGGCTGGCTCCAGCTCATTGACGAGCTTAGTGAGGGAAGCAGCTACTAAAAGACCACTTCAGCCCCGGCAGCCAATCCGCGCATCATACAGTAGAGAATAGCTCATAACGCAAGCGTCTGCTCTGACGCTCGAGCAGGTTGGGGGAGCAGGACCTCGTGTTAGGACATTTCGAGGGAACAGGGCAAGGGATTAACTGGTGGGGGTGGAGGCTACTTCAGGGGATTTGATGCAGAATAAAAGCTTTAATTGTTTTAAAATTAAAGCTCTGTCTCCATTGGTTTGGAAAGGTAAAGGAAACATTTGATTTTGTAATTTTGAAAGTATGAAAACAAAACTAGTGGAGATCTGGATATTTGGAAGCCATACTTAAAAACAGTCACATTTGAGGATTAGGAGCAGTGATCCTTAAGACCATGTGGCTAATTATTTACCAAATGCTGTTATGCTGTGATAAAGCATTGCTCCACTTTTTGTTTTGGTGGAAATAATAATAACAATATATTACAACTGTGTAAATTTTCTGAAGTGTATTAAAGCATGACTTTTAGGTTTGGGTCGGCCTGTTTGTGCCACAGTTTTTTTTTTTTATCTGATTGGAATTTTTGCTTGCGGTAGTGAATCTCTAATAAAAGTGGAGGTCTATCATTGAGCTTTTATAATCACAATAGTCTGGTTGTCATGCCTTCAAATCCCCCCTCGTCTGTTCTCAGCCTCTTTCTCAATAACCCACAAACTTTGTAGCAAAGCCTTTTCACACTCTGCTTTTTAAACTGCTATGTTTGATCTTTTGGTAATAGAGCCTGTTCCCCAAGTGGTGCGTGTTGTGGAAGCATAAAACAAATGCTTCACATTTTGTGTGGGCCGAGTTTATTTATAGTTTACCCCGTCGGACTGTTTTGCGCATCATTTTTCCACTGTGCGCCGTGATGTCAGTGATCTGTTTTCCAGGTGTTGAAACACAGAGGGGGAGGGCTGCTTAGATGCTGCTGCATAGATTGACACACAGATTTTTTTCTCTCTGTCTCTTCTCTTTTCATTCGAGATGACTTTGCACTTCTTCCAGGGTTTTATTGCAGGCCCATTAGATGTCAAAGTGGAGTTCAAGGGTGGTCCCGAAACAAAAATAGGGTTTTCATTTGGGCCTTATTTCATTTATCTGAGGTTATCTAATTACAAATATGCAGACATTGCTTTACTATTCAGACGTTTCACTTTAACTTCTGTCAGCTTTGTTTCTCCAGTCATACCAGTCAATCCAAAACAACAATACTGTGGGTGTTCTCACTCAGGTGGGGGCCTAATGTCTGAATGTGTTTTTTTTTAACATCAAAAACCACAATTTAACAGCACTCTGTGGTGAAATTCAGTTGAGAGTTTACGGATGGTGCACCCAAAGCACCAGTCCCGTGCCTGCTGGGGCATGTTGTCATGTTGAGTGATGTGTGACAGTGGATGTGTCAGCGTGGTGCTCTCTGGGATCTACTGCCTGTATAGGGACAGCCACACCACCTCAATCGTAAAGCCATTAATCTGCTGTTTGTCCGCTTTTCTAATTTGGAATCAATAGGGACCCCGCGGGGAATATTATGCACAGATGGAGAGGACGTCAATAAAATCACGGGACCACTTTTGGATATCAAACCTATTGTAATGTGTTGGACAATAGGCAGGGAACGGGGTAGAATTAGTCAAAAGAAATGCCCGTGTTCTTTTCTATGTCGGAGACACGAGGTCTGTCTTATTGTTGTCGCGCTTGTTTTTTTCCCCTCACTTAAGCCTGGATATAAAACAGTCTCGTCGCTGCCGGCGCAGCGCTCGCTGCTGAGGCGAGGTGCGTGTGAACAAAAGAGGAGGCACGGCAGAGAGCCGAGAAGAGATCGGTTTTCCAGGCGTTGCGCAGCTCCCGGAGGAGACGTCACGGTTTGATTGAAGCTATGCTCCGTGCTGGCCTCCCGGGACCTCGCGATGAAACGGGAGAGCCGCCCCTCCCCTTCTCTCTCTGTCTCTCTCTCTCCCAGCACTCCACAAAGCTTTTAGTTTCGATGAGGTCTGGAGCGCACGGATCACTTCCCCGCAGAGATGTGTCGGCCTTCAGTACTGTTTCACCGACACACCGGGTTGAATCTCTACTCTACCAACTGTCTGCCATATTATAATTCATATTTTCTGCAGCCAAACTCTTAGGTGTTAGTGTATATATATATATATATATATATATATAAATAAACATTTGGACCCTGATGGTTTGACGTGATGTGAATAGAGGGACTGTGGCCTTTATCTAAATCTCCCTATGATTGTATTTGGGTTACTGACCTCTCTGTGGCCTATCGAAAGATTGATTTAGCTGCAGAGTAATGATGACACACCACACCTCACCTCCCTCCTCTTAAGTCTCTGCAAGCTCAGTCTTGATCAGGCCTCCTCGTTTGTTTTAAAGATGTTGGTGCCTCGGGGAGCTATCTCTCTGACGAAATCCCACAGACACTTGGCAGCGCAGCAGGGTGATGGCGATAGGAGTTTATTACACCAACTGTCTTCAAAGCAGGAATGTGTTATCTGCTTTCTGGATGGCACAACGCTGAGTTCATGATGGCTATAAAGCTTTTGACCTGGAGTTGGGAGTCAGCGCCAGACTCCATACCACCAAATAGACACTAAAGTTCGTTTTAGGCCTGGCCAGTGTAATTTCCTCGTAGCTTTCACCATGTGTGACCTTTTTAAAAAGCTAGAAATTTAGGCTATGTCAGTGGTGTGAAGGCTTGGTTTCCCCCAAACTGACCTGTTTAAACTGACATTCATTTAGCCTAATTTACGTCTTTACACACCACCAATAATTACGCCTAAGCCTCCTCTTTAAACAGACTATTCATTATATATGGGGGGAATGAGTTCTTTAGCTTCATGTGCTTTCATTAGGATCATCCAGCACATGAAAGTAGGCTAACGCCAGCATTTCAAAGGAAAGTCAAGAAAGCTCCGGTAAACGCCGTCCGACTCATGCATGCGCATCCCTATTACAATCGGGTCCTTTGGTGGCATAAAGGGCCATTTAGTCCCTATTTGGCCCGGGATGAATAGAGTCAGTTCAGCAGCCGCCTCCCTGGCCCTAGTGGCAGCACGGGGTGGGGGGGGCTCAATGTCGCCGTTGTTGTCCGTTGTTGTCGCCCGTGCTGTAGAGGGGGGAACTGAACCGTGCACCGACTTGCATGCTGCTGTGCAGCGGCCCGGGAGGACGCAGGGGCCCCTTGTTTACAGCTCGGTCGCTAATAATGTGACAGCTGAAGAGACGCCGCTGGCTCCTTCCAGCTCTGCGCTCCACCAGCAGCGCGCTCTCTGTGTGTCTCTCTACAGCATTTATCTCTTCTGTCCCCCCCTCGCTCTCTTCAATGTACAGTTGTGTTATATCAGAAACTACACTGACAGTGTGTCAACTTTCCTAGAATGCACTCTTGAGTCTTCACCTCATCTTGGGATGATCAATTGGACCATTTGGCACACTCAGCCTGGTGATCAATAACAATTAAAATTGGCCACGCATTCTCTCTTTATGATGCCGGGTGTTGATGAGTGTGGCCCTGAGACTGTGTGGTTAGTACTCAGGCTGTAGTTTTGGTCCGCGCTGTTTAAGTATTCTGAGATTTGTTCTTGCTGATTTCTATTTTGTTCAACGGCAGTGTGCACAGAATTCCTTTGGCTTTGGACACGCACACACACTGGCAGTGGTGTGTACGTGTGCGCGCGTTTAATCCGTGTTTATGCCCACCCCACCCCCGTCGCTGCGGAGATTATCCTGCGTCATACTGCATTTTTTTTTTTTTTTTTTTTTTTTTAGAGCTGATCGGAGCTCTGCGCTTCAGAGAGCCTGGCAAAGCTCCAGGGACAAAGAGCGAGTGGCTGCCTACCCTTCCGTTATTCAGCAAAGACCCACATTCCCAGTTTCCTGTTACCGAACAGACGAACCTGAAAACAATCCGATCATAAACACAGGAGGGGATTGTGAATGATGCCAGGGGTCCGTTAAATGTGGATCCGCGCTTCCAGTCAGTTATTTATCAACTTATGAAGGAAGAGGAAGCTGCTAGCGGTGATGCAACCACCTTCCCAACTCCACCGTTCGCCCTCAGTCTCCTCCATACAATAGGCCTATTACCGGTGGTGCACCCGGTAAGCAAAAAACCACTGTGCTGCACGGGGAGTAGAGAGGCCTCAGCCCTGAAGGAAATGAGGAACGGTGTCGGTGCGCGGGTCACTGAGAGTTCAAGTCATTGTCGTCAGAGCAGCAAACAAGGGGGAAGAGGGAGAGGCGAGTTGGTTTTCTCTCCCTCTTTCCCCTCTTTATCATTCTGTGTGCTCCTCCTTTTTCCAAAAAGCGCACAATACCGAAATGCATAGCTATACGAGGTTCCGCTAAAAACACCCGGTGGTTTTCTGTTTAATGGTGCGAGTCGGGGCTCCGCTCCAGCGGTCTGGTTCATAAACGCAGCTCCGACCGCTGCGCTCCCCCTTCCCCCTGCCTGCCTGCTGCTGCCGCCGACCAGTGTGATGGATTGGACGGCCGTCGGGAGTTGTTTGTTGCGCAAACTATTCTTAGCAGCGGGGATGAACGTCAACACACTGCCTTTTCCTCCTTTCCTCTCTCTCCCACTCTCTCCTTCCACTTATAATGTGGCATTTTGGCAGGATTTCTTCATGGAATATTCTCAAAGCATCCAGTTTGTAGGCCACTAATGCTCCCTTTTATGTTCAGACCTCACTGAAATTATAAACATGGGATTTGAAATATATAGGCTTAAAACGCCACCTTTCATATACTTAAGTGTGCCTCCTTGGTCTGAATGTTAAATGAACAGTATTTCCAAAGCATCTAAAATGTGTCTGTTCAAGCATAACAAGCAATATTGGCATTATTGTGCTCCCTTGCGTTTTTGGCTTAATTTTAAGCTGGGTGCATGCAGTGTACTGGATACTGACCATGAGGCTCGGTGCGGTCTCTCATCTTTGCTGGGTGACTATCCATTTCATGGAAATGACAGACGCCATGCAAACTACTCTGTTATCAGCACAGTGTGGCCACGTTGTGAAGTAATAACAGGCCTTATGACACAAGACTGTGTTTTTGTTGTGCTGACCTATACAAGAACAGATCGTTTCCTCTCTGTTGTTTCGCAGGTGTTTTTTTTCTTCTTCTGGGAAAGCAACATACATGCAGGTTATGTTTGTACCAAGGAGAGTTATCTCACTAAACTGGCAGTAAAGGTTGCATTTAGGTTGAAGGGGATATCCATAAAGGCAGCATGTCATTGAATATCTGCATTTGTTTAATAGGCTTATTTTTTCGTTATCATGTTTGGTCTCATTAGTGGAGACTTTTCAGTGCAAGAGGACCCACGTGTGTTTGTGTGTGAGAGAGACAGAGAGAGAGGGGTGCATGTGTCACTCCAGGAAATGCAGGAAACGGGAATGATGTGATTTCTCAACGATGTCTGTGTAATTTGCAGAAACGCATGTGTCTGTGCGCACATTCATAGCTTCACTAACACTTACGCAGGCACACCGTTTTAGATCCGTCATATGCGGATGTTGTTGAAGCAGGACCTGCCCCGGGGAGCTGGGGCAGGGGGGCTGTGGGGGAGGGGAGCGCTGGGCGGGGAGGAGCTGTGCCGAGGGGCCCACAACAGGCTGATTAATGGGCCTCAGGTCATGGCAATAAAAGTGGCGTGGCAGCGAGACTCAGAGGCGTTTCTCTGCGATGATCGAGGAGCCAAGTTTCTCTGCTGCTCTCAGCACTGCCAAGCATGGCTTCACTTTTACTATTTAAAGGCACTTCTCTCTCCCACTTCCCTCTCCTGGTCTCCTACCTCATGCACTGGCTCCACTAACAGGGGTGTCTGCCCTAACTAGTCATCAAGTCAAATATTCAAACTTAAGATTTCCTTTTAAATAAAATCTACCAAGTGGAATCAATAATTTCAACTTTTCTCATTGTTTCACCTGTTGGAGGATTTTGAAACAGCCCTTTGAAATTTGGCAGACCACTCTGTTAGTATTAAGATAACTCACCAAGGCTGTGTTCAGTGATATCAGTTTTGCCACTTGTAATATTATGAACATTATATTTGTGTTTTTCAGCTTCTTTCACACCTGTTTTTTTTGTGATTGTGATGTCCCTCACTTAGTAAGCAAGATATTGTTACAGTTCTTAAAACCTTAACTTTTGTTGTCACTAAAATGACACCATAACATAAATACAAATTTGAAACATTGCTGTAAATTTGAGCAGTTTAATTAAATTTGTGGTCGTTTCTTTGCTTTTAATGTACATTAGGTTTTGGAGTAAGGTCGTGTTCATTTTCTCACTTTGCTGTATATCAGTATAGGTCAGCATGGTTCATATTTGACAAAAATTGTATTTAGTCCTGGCAAGAGCTATATCTTCCAGCCCCATCAGCAGAGCCCAGCTGATAAAAGCACAGATTTAATGTTAAAGACGAGTTATTAAATGTGTCATCTTCTTAAATGTTGCACTAATGAATAATTGATAACAATGTACTTGTAACTTATTTCATATCTCCTTAACATAAAATAACAGCTCTGTTATGCTCCATTGCTTAAAAGAAATTAAAATGTAAACAAATCATTTGTAGATTAAAGCGCATTTCACACACAAAGGGATCTTGGTGTTTTTTAATTAAAAATAAAATCAACTTTAAAGAAACGGCCTTTTCACTTCCATGGTCATGTTCTTCTTTATCTTTATACCTGTCTCCTATGTTATGCGTTCTCAAACTGAATCTATAGTTTATTTTAAATTTTGCACAGTTGTGTCTTTTTCTCTTCCATACTATACTTTAGCGTGTTTTCGCTGGTGTGAGTGTTTGTTGATCTGTGGCTCTGTGTTGGCGGGCGGTAAATGGTCTCCCACCGAAGTGGTCTCTGATGTATAATCTTCCCTCGCTTCGCTGGCTGAGGCAGCTGAGAGAGCAGGTCAAAGAGGGCACAGAAAAACCAGTGTGTGGGGAACGTGACTGAATAGATGCAGCCCCACAATGCTCGTCTAGCCCGCAGGGTGGGCAGGATGGGGGTCAGGGGAGGGGGATAGGAATGGGGGAGGGGTGGGGGGGTGCTGAGGGGCGTTGACGGATGGGAGGGGAGGGAAGGGGAGCTCACAGCACTTTCATCTCCACTGACTACTTCGGTGGAGGTGTGTGTGTGTGTGTGTGTGTGTGTGTGTGTGTGTGTGTGTGTGAGAAGAAGGGTGTGATAACTATAGCTAATGCTGCCATTATCTTTCTTTTCTTTGTACCTTCGCCCCACTCCCTGTCTTTCATTTTAATTAAACATCTTTGTTCCACATTTTACTACTATATAGCAAAAATATATCTGTTGATATAGTATTTTTTGCGTGGACCAGATATTTACGTATACTTATAAACTGACATTTTTGTCCTTTTAAAAAAATGTTTGGGCAGTGGGATTACAACTGAGCTGTGTTGTGTGTTTGTCTATATGTGTGCGTATGTGGCGGAGCCAAGACACTAACTGCTAACTGTTTGCTCATCTCCGCAGGGCAACATCTGTTCGTGATGTCGATGCTGAGACACAAACCAACCTGGAACTAAGACAAGGGAACCACATCACACAAAACATGGCAAGTCCCAGTACTCATCCTCAGTACTGTTTATACTCATTTGTCAGTTGAGTTACTAATATGTGGAAATAAACGTTTGCATGCACGCAACTATCCTAGTACGCTAAAATCTTTTTGTGCTTACTTTTTTTTTTATTGTTCATGCTTTCAATGTATGATTATCCAAATTGTCTGTCTTTTTTTCTTTCTATGTTGGTAGTCACATTTTCTTCTGTGGTATCCCCTTTTTGCTGCAGGTGGATGCAAGGTTGACGCCACTGGCAGCGATGGGGCTGGACCGAGGCACTCTAATGCATGAAGGTCTTCGTCTCCATGGTGGGGTTGTGTACCCAGGGATCAGAGCACTGTCAGCAGAGAAGAGCCGAGAGACAGCCACCCTTCCCCTCACTTATAATAGGGATGGTCTCCCAGAGCTCCTCTACAAGCCTGATGGCCCTTTGGACAGTCGTAAGCCCACTAATGGATATCTGGGCCTCTACAAGGGCACCCCTCCAGGTCTCCCCAAGCCTATGCTGGTTCCTGGAACTGGAAATGAAGGTCTAGGTTTGGAACGCCGAGTAGGACCTGGAGAAAAAGCTTCTGAACTGGGCTTGGCAGGTGCTGGTGGCAGCTACCTCCGCCTGCCGTGGCTCAACCCCTACCCCGAAGCAAGCATGTATCCCTTCATGGACACATCCAAGTATGCGGCTCTTAACATGTACAAAGCCTCCTTGCTCAGCCAACCCAACCCTTATCTTCCCCAGCACCTGGCCTACTCTTCTCTGTGTGCAGCCCAGGGAGGCAATGTTAACCCTGCAGCAGCCGCTTCTGCTGCTGAGAGGCTCTACTATATGCCCCCCTATCCTCCTTCTCCCATCTCTTCTCCCCTTGTAGCACCCCCTATGAGGATTCCTGCAGTCACAGTGGCCCCCACATCACTGGTACACTGCCAGGACAAGGGGCTTCCATTTGCACAGCAGCTTCACCAACCTTCCCCTCATCCTCAGCACCATCAGACTGCTATAGACAGGGACCGGTCCCCGAGCAGGAGCAGCAGACCAAGCAGACCTCCCTCAAGGAAGGGCTCTAGCAACAACAATAACAACAGTAGCACTAGTGGCACCAGTGGTGGGAATAATAATAGTCTGCCTACTGATTCTTCTCCTCATGCATCTTCTCGCCTACCCCAACCTCCCCCTCCTCCTGCTCTCATTGATAATTCACTGGATTTACAAAGGCCAGTCGTTAGGTTAGGACAACCACCCTCCTCTTCAATATCTGCCTCATCTACACAGTCCATTCCCCATCCATTCTCTGTGAGCAGCATGGCATCAGAGCAGCCCTCTCCTGCCCGGCCCAGCACACACAAATCTAGGCCAAGAGATGTGGCGCCTGAGCACAGAAGTGTAGGGGTGGAGAGGAGACCCAGTAGGTCACCCTCCAAACCCAATTTTGAGCGGCCAACTCACCCACCCCAAGCAACCAAAGACTCAGCAGAGAAGCCCTTGGATTTGTCTGGGAGAATACTGGAGTTTGGACTGCCTCCCAATGGATTCCAAGTTAAGATGGACACTATAGCACCAGGGGCACGTTATGGACTGCCCTCTAACCGAGAGCTCCTAAAGGAAAACGTGTCCCTCTCACCTTCCTCTCACTCTGTGGTCAGCAGCACTTCTTCAAAGGTCCCAGAGAGGCCAGAGATGATTAGCACTTTACACTCCTCCTGGGTTGTACCTAGCCCGTCTCCTTCCCATGCACAGCACACACCAGGCTTGCCCCCCTCTCCAAGGCCTAACACAGACCTGAGCCTTTCACAAGCCAAAGGCTCCTCACCCTCAGTTATCAAACACAAGGGTCTGGAGAGAGTACTCCCCCAGCAACGTAGCTCATCCTGTCCAAGGATAGGGGATCCCAACCATACTGTTTCCTCCTCTCAGCACTCCTCTCTGGTCAGCTCCAGGGCTCTTTCTCCCAAACCCAATGGTGAGTGGGTCAAACACAGCCCCAGCCAACCAGAACATCCAGCAGCCGTGGGCCACCACAGAGAAGGAACAGAGAAGTCCTCCCAGACCACTAAGAGAGGTGAAACGACTCCAGAGGTGTCATCATACAAGAGGCCCTGTTTAGAGAATGGTCACCCTCCTGGCCACCTTTACCTTCCTCAAAGCGACGCTTACCTGAACCACAGTTTGGCCTATGCCAATAGATACCTGCACTACCCCATCCCTGATGGCATGGCACTACACTCCCTGCCAATTGCAGGGAAAGGCCCAGTCTACCATCACCCAGTATTGCTGGGTAGCAACAGCCTTTACCCAACCCACTTGGCAGCAAAACACCCTTTACCCTACCACAACCTCCCAGGTGCTCCAGGAGGGGAATACCTCACTTATAACTCACAGGAGATGGCTCATCCCCTGATGCAGACTCGCTCAGACAACAAGCCGCCAGAAAGGGGAGATGCTACTTTGAAGCCCCGGGGACAGGAGAAATCTCGGGGAGCTGTCGAAGAATGTGGGGGCCACAGAGATCACAACATTGGAAGAGAGACGAGCGAAGGAAGCCAAATTAAGCCCAATAGGGAAGCAGGAGCACAAGGACAGGGTGGCAGTCAAAGCAAAACCCTCTCTTCCTCTGTAACATCCAGAGAAAATATTGTCTGCATTGACCTTGTACACTCTGACACAGATATTGAGTCTACCCCAACAGTCCACAAACAGCCCTCTGCTGAGATCAGCACCAAGGTTAACCAAAATGAATGTTGTCATAGTAAACAAAATCTGACAAAGACTGACTACGAGCCAAAACACCAACACCACCTTTCCCATCCCTATTCAGTCCACTCCAGACAGAGCCCCATCCTGAAACCCAATCACACTGATAGACAGCCAGAAACTCCCTTCGGGAAACCAAAGGTTGTTCGGGACACAGGCTGTCCTGGAGTGACATCTAGAACATCCACAGCTTCTCCAGGGCAGGTTGCCCTAGCAGAAGATAGCCCTGAAGAACAGAGTCCCAGCCCTGACCCTGGAGATCTCGACCAGAGCACCTTGCACTGTGCCCGCACATCTGGGGAGCGCAGCTCTGGTAAGGACAAACAGGGCAGAGACAGCCGAGCGCTTCACCTTACTCAGCACTGCACAGATGTAGTGAAGGAAGAGAAGGTGTGTGAGAGGGAGACTGAAAAGGAGGACAGTATTGTTGACCTTGGGGAGTCTCAAGGAGAAGGGGATGAGGAAGAAGAAGAAGAGGGTTGCCAGACTTCATCTAAAGGCTCTCGTAGATCCAGTCTGGCCAAGAGGATCGCTAACTCCTCAGGCTACGTTGGCGACCGCTTTAAATGTGTCACCACTGAGCTGTATGCTGACTCCAGCAAGCTGAGCCGTGAACAGAGAGCCCTGCAGGTAAGGCCATTAATGTGTGTGTGTGTGTGTGTGTGTGTGTGTGTGTGGGTGCGCGCGCCCGCATATGTATATACAGTACAGGATATATTGGGCTGAAGTTGGTGGTGGGCTGGAGAGAGGTCATTATGACAGATGTTTTTATATGTGCAGACATTTCAAACATACTTTCAGCTCTAACATCCACACAGGAATAAACCCCCAAGGGCCACTGTCTGACTGTATTCCTTTGCTGCAATATTCAGAACTGCCTGTAGAACGAACCCTGCATGAAATTGGCGTACTCCGCATTTACAACACAGTACAGAATAATAGAAGTGCTGTCATGCTACTGTCCTAGCCATAGGCTTGACCCTCCCGTAGTTTATCATTGTCTTAGTGAGCTGGTGCAAGGCCCTCTATCAGGGAGGGTAGTTCAAAGGTTAACCAGGGCTGCCATCTATGTTGATTAGTGAGCAGTCATTGTAAAGGTTATTTCTGTGCGTGCGTGTTTGTGTGTCCGTACGTGCTTGTCCTTGTGTGACTGCCTGGGGGCTAAAGCATGCGTTAGTGCTGACTGTGCTGTAGAGCCCATATACTGTAGTTTCATAGCATGACTGTGGCAACCTCACAGTTCACACTGCCTTTGGCTATGCTTAACCCCAAGGTTAGGGCCAGTGGAGGGCTTGCAGTGTGCTTAAAAACCAGCAGCTGCCCTCTTTGGGGTTTCTCTTATGCTTTCTGCATGCCCCCACCCGCCAGTCACTATCCTCCCCTAACCCTCCTCCCCCTGATGGCCTATGCTGCCCTGCCTGGTTGCTGCCCAAGTACATAATTCTCCTCACCCCCTTGGCTAGAAGACCCTCTTCTAACACACATCACACGATATCTGTAAATGCACAATTATAGCAAAGTCCCCTACACTTGGCCATCATCCCGTCATTCATTTCAGGCACTGAGCTATTCATTTTAGACTGTTATATCTGGTTCCTTATGCTCAATGTTCAGCATAGAAACACAAACAAACTCTATTCTGTGTTATCTACTGGCTCAGAGCGCAGATAGGTTAATAGGCCGCACGTGTCTGTATATGTTGTGAACGCCTAGAAAACTGTGGTTTTGTCTGTGTCATGCTTGTCAATGCACAGCTGCAACACAAAGCTATCAAACGCTCTATTTCTGGACATGTAAAAATTAGATGTGGAAGTCTCTTTGGGAAAAAGAAATGAGACCGCTAAAACTGAATTAGCGTTATCAATCATGCTTAGAATGAACATATTGTTTTGATTATCTTCAAATTTGTCATTCATGCAGTTCAGAAATTATTTGATAGTTTTGATGCAGTGTAAATTGACCTGTTGAGTCACTTTAATTTGATTGTGTTATTTTGTGGGATTGTGGCTGACTATTGTGTGTAAAGAAACATGTGGAGAACATAAATTCATTAAAAAAGATGAAATGATGGACAGATATATTGAGCCCCCCCATTCTAATTGCTTAGATGGAAGTCATATCACGAGAGGGGAGTAATATAAGTCAACCTGCAGCTAACTGGGAGGTCAGTTCTTTACATTTCTTATCACATCTGCCTCTGATGGGCTCTGTCTCCTTTGTACTCTGTACCGCTGCACACTCCTTTCCCCCCACTCCTTTCTTTCCTCCTTTTCATCTCCTCTCTCTGCCTCAGGGCTTAGATGTATATGTTTCCTAGCCATGTTTATGTTTCAGGAAGGGAGATGCCAGAACTTAAGCCCCAGAGCGCATGGACTCACAGTGGCTGCAGTAGTCTAATCTGTGTCTTGATGCCATGCTTGTGATTTATCTGTCTACCTTTTTGTCCTGTGTGTGTGTTTGTGTGTGTGGGTTAAATTTCTTTGCCATTTTCTTTGATTTTGAGACAGTGTGATTTCTGACGCAATTTTTGCTTCTGTAGCTGTTGAGGCCAGATTGAGGCTTAGAGAGGTGTGTGTGCGGCGTGGGCAGACGATGAGTGGTTTTCATGGGTTTTCTCTGCATCTGTGTGTGTGTGTGTGCACAGCGGGCAATGATGCGGTTCTCGGAGCTGGAGCTGAAGGAGAAGGAGGGCGGCAGTGTGTGTGTGTCTGCCTCGGCAGCGGCAGCAGGACGGGAGCTGGCAGACGGCCAGAGCAGAGAGCGAGCGCTGGAACACTGCCAACACACCACCAGGCAGGGAGAAAGGGAGGGTGAGTAACCCAGCACCACACACACTCATAATGCGCGCACAGACACACACATGCACCCACTCTGCAAATGAACACTCAGAAAAGGACACACACAAACAATAGGTGCGCGTGCACACTCATGCACTTGCAGCAAATGCTGAGGCAAGACCGGGTCACTCTTACAAAAAAAAGACACACACTTCCACACAGACTCAACACACACACATGCACTCTTACACAAGCTAGGCAGCGCAAGCGAACAAGCCAGTGAGAGAGACAGAAAGGGGGAGTTTTATTTTCAAGAAGTCTTTTGTGCTTATCTGCGCGGAGAGACGATCGAGAAGGGAGGGCAAGAGGAGAAGGAGGGGCAGAGATTGGCTGAGTGAGAGAGAGAGAGAGAGAGAGAGAGAGAGGGAAAGCGGGGGGAGACTTAGTGGGTTAAAGCGGATGGGAGAGCGCAACGGAAAGAGGAAGGGGGGTTAGTTACGTTGGCTGGGAGCCCAGCTGTGTGTTGGAGCGAGGCCGTGGCTGACGTGTGAGCCTAATTATGGCATGGAGAGAGACAGAGAAGGAGAGGGAGTCGGAGAGAGAGGAGGGGGGGGTCGAGTCACGCTCAGTGTGAGAAGGGCGTGGTGCGGTCATGCCGTGGGGGTTTGGGGGGGGTTGGGTCGCCTGTGCAGGATGTTTTCTTGCCTCTGCTCGCTGGAAGTGCGAGCAGTTGCACTGAACCCGTCAGCCCGCTGGCTCGGCTCACATCAGATTAAAAAGTCTTTACCCCATCAAAGTTTTACTGCCTGTCTTTAAAGCAGAATAAAAGCTGGCTGGTGTTTAACTGGCATTCTCCCTCTGTCAATCCCCTGCCCCGTCACACCCCCACCCCTTGTTTCCCTGCTCTCTTTCTGTCTGTCTGGTTGGTTTGCGGTCTGTCTGTCTGTCTGCATTCTCTTCCCGTGAGTCTGTCTCTTTCATCTTCTGTTGCTTTTTTTGCCTGTGCCCGCCCCCACCTCTCTTTTCCATCCGTCTGTTTCTGCTTTGCTCAGGTGTCCGGCCGGCATACGCAAACAACAGAGTTCCAGTTCTCCAGAGGTGTGGGGTCCAGAAGGAGCCTCTGTCCCCAGGGCATGGGGCCCAAGATGGGACCAGAGGTGCCAGTGAAGGGCTAAAGGATAGAGCCAGGAAGGTGATGAGGGAGTCTGAAGGAGATTATTGTGTGCCCCCAACTTTGAAACCGGCAAAGGGGTATACTGAGGAGAATGCCAGCCCTGGCTTTGGACCCACCAGGAAACGCCAGCTCTGCCCCAAGGCTGAACAGGACGACACGGACAGAGAGGAAGTAGACAGGCTGTCCCACCCAGAGAAAAGAGCCAAGCTTTCAGGTGAGAATTTCTAGAACCTGCCCTGTCATTCACATGCATCTTCCATTTCTTTAAACCACCCCCCCCTCTCTTCATCTGCTTTCCATGCATCTCTCTAATTCAGCCCATTTTTTTCCCTTCATCCTGTTTTATGCTGAGCCCTGTCTCATCCCTTGTTCCCTTGCTCTTTAAAAAAAGAAAATCTTTCTATTCCTTTTGTCGCTTCCTCCTTCCCAATCAATTCCACCTTAAACCCAGTCCATCCCAACCCCCCTTTTACCACTCTCTGTCCCATCTTTCGCTCTGTGTGGCAGCCAGCTCAGAGAAGTGTTTAATCCTGCCTTTGAGCGGAGCGCGAGAGAGAAGCGAGGAAGAGGGACAGCCATTCTCTCTCTTTTCTTTCAGCTCTGCCGTTCCTCCACTGCGCTTACCCACCCTCTTCAAAGCTGCTCTTTTCTTCTCGTTTCATCTCCTTTTCTTTTTTCCCCTCATCTGTTTGGGTTCCCTTTTTTTCTGGCATGCGGTATCACGTTTGCTCTCCCCGGCGCTGGCAGACGAGTCAAATACCCTCCTCCCCCCCCCTGTGAATTTCAGGGGGGGAGAACTCTCCCTGTGCTTCTTCAATCTTTATTGCTTTGTGTCTTCACCTTGATTCTTGACTTCTCTTCCCCTACTACTCCTCAATATGTCTATTTCACATCCAGCTCCCTGCCTCTTGCGTGTGTGTGTGTGTGTGTGTGTGTTAAATGTAAGTCTTAGAGGGGGTTTTATAAGCCATAAGAATGTAGTGATTAATGGCATTGTTTCTTTGTGCTCAGTTGTCTGTAGTTTGGTATGAATTTACATAAAATAGTTTCGTGCATTGCAGAAGGTGAGTGGTGTCTTTGAAAGGGTGAAAACCTTTTCATGTCCAGATGTCAACTCATTGGCACTTTGAAGTGTTCTGAACTGTTTTTATTTATTTTATTATTTAAGCTTGCCCACAATGCATTTCTGAGTTTTTCCATTGGGTTTTTGATAAGTAATGGGTAAGAATGTTCTTATCTAATCTTATAACTGAGGTGAAACTTGAATGTGACCAGAATATATATTTTTTTTTATATGCCATCAACCTGCCAGTGACTGCAGATGAAAATGAGCCGGTATGACTGAATTCGGCACATTTACATGATGGACCCATGTGCTCGTGTTAATTAATGTGCATTGTCCCTTCTTGAATAAAGTAAACAAACATACTTGTTAATTGTTATTTCAAGGCACCGTTCTAGGCAATATAGCTGTTTATATGATATGGCAAACAATAGTAATTATGTATTTCTGTTGTCTGCAGATGAGCGTGAGCAGGCCAGTGTTGATGATGAAGAGGATGATGACGAGGTGCGGAAGCTCAAGGTCTGCATCGAGTTGAAGGGACTGCGACTCAGCAAGCCCTCTGCCGGCACAGCTTCACCTGACGTTTCCCAAATCAAACAGGAGAGAGCGTGGCCCCAGCCCCGCTTGGTAGCCCCGGCCCAGAACCCAAGGGAACGCAAGATCAGGGCTAGTGAGCCGGAGGACAGAGCCGCAGTGCAGAGAGCCGAGATCAACAGGAAATGGGGCTGCGAGAAGCTACTTAATGGTAAGAATGAACCGCCAGCCGTGCAAACCGCAGCTGTATCTTTGAGTTCAGCTAGGGTAACGGAAATCTATCTTTGGCTCACGTTTCACTTTCTTGTTGAGCAGTCTGTGTTGGGGGGATTTCCCGTGAGCCTTCAGGGAGGGGGCAGGGGAAATGAGGTAGGGGATACTTCCTCCTGCCAGAGGAAAGGCTGGGGAATCAAACTGGACCTGGAGACTAAAAGCTACAATGCTTACCCCCCCTGTGGTTTTGTGCTTTTTGCTCAGCTGGTCTACAGCGGACTCTGTGAGAGCGATGAAAGTGCGAATGAGGGAAGTGGCTGGTGGAGATTTGCGTGGGCAGGTGTAGTGTGACTAATGTGTGATCAATGATTTTTCTCTTTCTTTTTTCCCCTTAAGACCGGTCACGGGGAAAGGGAGGGCGGGGAGTGTGGGTGGGGTGAGGGTTGGGGGTAACTTATTAAAACCAGGGCTTTCCCTTATTCATGTGCCCAAACCGAGGCGGAGGGAGGCACAGACGAAGGGAGAATAAAAGAGCAAGAGAGAGATTAAAGGAAGTGAAAAAAGCAGGGGAGATTTTGGTTTTATGTTTCCTGCAGGAACCACAGGCCTTGATTGGCCACTGATTATTATAAAAAAAAATTTCTCACCTTTTTTAGATAACATCGCCCTGGCAACAGCCGTGTTTTTACAATGAACGTGGTTATTCCGCTCTGTGTCAGTCAGGGCTGTGGTCTTTGTTATTTTTCTTAATTTTTTTCAGGATTCCACTAATCAGATAAAATATATTCATGTATGTTAAGAATCTCATATTGTAAAAGTTTTTTTTTTTTTTTTTCCCAGAAACAGACTTTACATAGAAAGTGCTTGCTTATTTAAGCATCGGTAAGCTATATCATTTCTCTTTCCTCCTCATTGGTTCTCAGCCTTGGACTAATTTAATGGACTGTTTATTCTAAAAGTTCTATTGTAACACAAATCAGACCTATATCACATTCTTGAGTAGTTAGAAATGCTTTCCAATGATCTTTAGGAGGAAATGTATTTCCATTAAGCTATTAAACAGCATTTTGACATTGTGGTTTCAAGGGCAGGTTTTTATTTTTCGTGTAAATATGTACTATAAGAGGCTGAAACCAGACAGTGCCACATTTGTTTAAGGAGATTACTCATAGCAGTGTCCTTGCTGCAGTGAATGAGTGCACACAAGTCACTACGGGGATGTTTATGTGAGCCTGTGTTGTACGTGCAAGTGGTGTTTGCGTGCCTGTTTTCATTTTATTTATTTATTTTTTCCTGTGCGAGCGAGCAAGCATGCTGCGCTCCCAGACAGCTCTGTGCACTCATTAATAAACCAACAGAGGGTGAGAGATGGCCTTGCAATACCTTCCAATCCTCCCTTTCCACTGAGGTCTCACACTATCAGCCGCTCACTCTGCCTCCCTCTTTCCTCTCCTCTTGCTCCAGGAGTAGCTACTTCTCCCCTTCCCCCCGGCCAACTGAAGGACAGAGTGCAACCACTGGGCCCCTTCTCAGGTGACCGTGGCCTCAAGGAGCCCAGGAGGGGCCCCCCCTCCCCAGCCCCAGAGCTGTCTGTGGGCGGAACCCCTCCCCTCAAACCCCGTCGCCATAGTGACACGGACAAACCCAAGGGCAAGCGGCCGTGCAAGACCAAACACACCAGTCAGCGGGAGCGAGAGCGGGAGAAAAGGAAAGAGGCCACACCTAACAGCCCAGGCCAGCGTTGTGTAGCTGATCTAGGAGCAGCTGAAGATGACAAGGTGAGTGCTGATATGGTGTCTGGGCATGATACGGGCGTCTGGATGTTTGTAGCAACGGCGTCTGTTTCAGTATGCCTGCCGGCGCCTCTGATTATGCAGCTGGGGGAGAGAGGGAGGGAGAGAGGAAGGAAGTATGTTTACAATGTTTAGAGGGCTGCTGGAGCTTTGACCTCTTTGTGCCCTTAGCGGCTCCCTGCGGAGCGCCTGCATGCATGTGTGTTTGTCTCTGGCCTTAATTGTCGAGCGTGTGTCATCGGTGCTGTTTTGTGTGTAGGTGCGTGCCAGGGATGTGAGTGTCTGTGTGTTTGTGAGCATTCCTGACATAACAACAAAACCCCAGAGCAATTATACATCGCACTTAGTGCCGAACACAAGGCTGCACACACTCTCTCTCTCACATAGTGAGGAATGTGGCGGCCGTGGTCGAGCGTATGAAGCGCCCGAGTTGAAAAGAGGGGGAAAAAAATAAGCATGGGGAAAAATTGAGGGGGGGGGAGGCTAGTTGTTTTCCGCCCACGCTGCTCTCCTCCCCTGCTCCTCCTCAGCCTGACAGCTGCTTCGACATGGAATTCCACTGAGAGGACACACACACACAGAGGCAGGCAACTCACTCTCTCGTGTGTTGCACTCTGAAGGCTCTGTTGGTTTAGCGGTTAAAGAAAAGTGGCGTGCCAACCTGCAGTGTTTGTGGCGTGAGCAGTTGGTGTGAAAGTCGTGTGAGTGTGTGGGTTTTTTTTCAGTGATGCATGGTGTGTATTCCATAGACAGTATCATATATGAACACAGATTTTGTCAATGAAAATCGGTGTATATTTTAAGCTATATGTAAGGGGTATACAAATTAGTTAGATTTGAAAATCATGTGAGGATAAGAACATTTTTTGAGGAGAATAAACATAGCTTTATTGAAAATATGATTATTCTTTTTAATGTATTTTGGCTGTATAGTAACCATTGACAGAATGTCATAAACTTATACCAGTTTTGTATTTTCCACTTCATTGTTTTGTCAAAAAAACAATTATATGTTCATGTGAGAGTATGCACAAATATGCACAATGCCATATCGTGTGTGTGTGCGCGCAGATGTCTGTGTGTATTCTCCATGTGCCCTTGACTGTCCGTGTGTGTCTCTATATATGAGAATGTGTGTCTCGTCTGCTGTGTAGCAGTGTGTAACACTCTCCCTCTCTCTAACTCTCTCTTCAGCTGAGTGAGCAGCGTGGCGCTCCGAGGAAGGGAGCCGCCTCTCCTAATCATTATCCCTGCTCTCCAGTCAAGCCCTGCTCCCCCGCCACACTCTGTCCGCCCTCCCTGCAGCCCCAGGTGAACGACCGAGCTGGCGGTGTCCCACCAGAGCCGGCAGGGGTGTACAGGACCCCCCCTGCCGAGCCCCCCGCGGTGCGTCCGATCCCGCCAGAGGCTCGTCGGCTGATCGTGAACAAGAACGCCGGAGAGACTCTGCTCCAGAGAGCGGCACGGTTGGGCTACGAGGTAATAGGCTTCGCTCAAAGTCATCCTCCCTCCTTATCGCTTTCCCTCTTCACATTTTACACTCTTATACTTCATCTCTTCCAAATCTTAGCACACTCTCTCTACTTAAATTGAGCTCATTTTCTTCCCCTACTTTGTTCCTGTCTGTGACTCGGGCAGACATAGCTCAATTCTTTTTTTTAAAATTGTCTTTCTCCATCTGATTCCTCTCTTGCATCTGTCCTATTCTTCCTCTTTCTAGCTCCCTCTTTTGCTTTTTGAATCATTTACTTCTATTTCACCCTTACTCATGCTTTGTTCTCGCCGTACTCCATCTTTTTTGCTCCTCTTGCCCGCTACTCGCTTTCTCTCTCAGGTTTCCGCTCTCTCCCTCCCCCCTCTTTCCTCTCAGCACTCTCTTTCTCTTCCTCTCTTTGTGACTCAGATTGTCGTTGGCACCCCTCCTCCTCCTCCCCTTCCCCGCGAGCGCACACAGTCCCCTCGCCTCCCCTCCTCTTGCCTCGCTCCGCTCTCACATCTCATTAATTTTCTGTGAGGCGAAGTGTGACACACACTCTCACACGCAGGCGCACATGCACGTGCGTGCGCAGACCGCATGAGGCATTGGTGGGATCATTATACGGAGACTGATGCTCACTGATGCTCGCTCTAGCATCGGAAGTTTTTTTTCTTGTGTGTAGCTGCAGATGATCGTTTCTTCTAAACCAGATCCTCTCGTTCTCCACACATACAAGAAAGAATGAAACTAGTGTATATTCTACTGAATCTCTCAACTCCCAATGCTCTGAAAGCTTTTAATTAAGTTGGATGGCCCGCTGTCTCTTTCTCCCACGTCCCTTGTGTTTCTTTTCGTGATACTGAACGTTTCTTCCCCCTTTTTAGACAGATTTTACAAATTCATTTATTGATCCAAGTGGTTTTAATTCCACTTGAGCTGATGATTGTGCTGTATGTGTCCACTCTGTTTCACTCACCTTTTGATGCGTGTGTGTGTGTGTGTGTGTGTGTGTGTGTGTGTGTGCGCGCGCACATGATCATTTTAATCACTAGCAGAGGCATCTTCACAGAACTGTAAATAGATGTGGGTATCTTTTGTTGCTCATTAACTAGTTGCTTTATGGTTGTGTGTGTTTGTTATACACATTTATGATGATGAGTGGTGTGTGTGTGTCAGTCATTATGCGTGAATGTGTGTGAGTCAGGGTGGGAGAGAGCAAGAGTGTGAATGAGAGGTAAGCACTGGGAGTATAATCGCGTTCTAATGGCCCTCTAATGTGCCGTGGTGACTGTGGTTAGCAGTGGCGGCGGCTGTTTTTCTCCCTCGCGCACACACACACACACACACACACACACACACACACACACACACACACACACACACACACACACACACACACACACACACACACACACACACACACACACACACACACAGGGTGCAGCGCAGCAGCAGGGTTCAGTCAGCCGTGCTGGAGAGAAGCTGGCTTGTCTCTGATTTATGCGTCTCCCTCGAACGTTTTTTTTTTTTCCCCCTCTCTCCTTTTTTTTCATTCCCCCTTCGCATTTTTCTCTTCCTGCGTTCCGCGTGTGGAGAGGGAAAGATGGAGGAGGGGGGAGAAAACCTGAGACTACACAAACAAGGCGCTGACCGCTGCGCAAACAACACCCCCGCCTTCCCCTCCACCCCCCCCTTTCTTTCTCTCTCTCCCTCTCTTTCTCTCCCTCCCTCTCTCAGGAAGCTTGTCTCTCACTGCCTGTGTGTGATAAGCCTGGGGCAGACCCCTGGGGCTCGCACGCACGCACGCACGCACACACGCATGCAAGTACGTGTGCAGACACACACCAATTTATGCACACTGCCCCACACACACTTGCATACAAGCCTGTAGACGTACAGAGCACTTGTCTCACGCTGGTGTTTTAGCGCCGCAAGCACTGGGCTTATCACACTGAGGCAGAGAGATATGAGGGCCTGAGAGACACAGGCATACACACACACACACAGCGCTCACATGCTGATTACAAGCACACACACACAGAAATACGCACAGTGAAACACCCGTTATGACCCAATAAGCACATGCACAGGCATCCTGACGTGTTCTTCTCCATATGCTGCACAGAGCGCTGACTCTCCGCACTCACTGCTGTCACACACCCCCACAGACCTGCACATGCAAATTCAGAATCGCCTCATGCACACACACGCACACACACACTCACAGCCTATATGCTCACTATAGAACCGGTTGTTACCCTGAAAGCACATGCACAGACATCCCTTTGTGTATAGACCTGCACATGCAGGATACAGAATCACGTCATGCACACATGCATGTAATTTAAGACACGCACAATGTTCTGTGCTGTTCCTGATGCCTGCCCGACACTGTGCATATTTCATGTTCGTTTAGTTTTGCGATCCGTGCCTCTGCACACGAAAGCCCACTCTCTTTCTTCCTCCCTCCCCTCGCTCCCCTTTTATTCTCTCACTCTCCCTCGTCTGCCTCCCTCTCTGAGCATTTGAAATGGTAATGAGGAGAGATTCTGCGGATGTCTTCATCCCTCTCCCCCTCGTGCCGGGGCTCGGGGGGCCCCTCAGCTCTACCCATTGAAAGCTCAGATAAAGGTGCAATCTGTCATTTATTCTCCTCACATGAATCACTTCTGATTTTCCTTCTCAAATCTATGTATGATCCAAGCAAAGACAAAAACTAGATTGCATTTTAAGTGCCCAGTCAGACCAGCATCTATGATACCAACGTTTTGGACCAAAATTACAGCAATTGTAATTGTAAACGTTTCACTTGTCTAGGCTCGCACCAACTTTTTTACTGCATAGACTGTTGGCTCTTCATCACACAAGGAAAGCCACTCATGCATCACCTGCACATGTGATAGGCATTTTTACACACACACACACACACACACACACACACACACACACCTGTTCTACGTGAGGAGTATACAAGGCATCACTGCAAGGGGTTAAATGTCTGAGTGATGCATTGATTGCAGGCGAGCGCAGGGAAGCATTCTAGAGAGGGAGATTAGAGGACGGAGGGAAAGAGCGGGGGGGGGGGGGGGTTGTCTCATTTTACTGCGGAGGAGTGTTTGCACGTGTGTGTGTGGCGGGAAGCAGGGGCTCTTGTGCTAAGCTCCTTGCTCTCTTCCAGCGATATTAAACACGGCTTCAGAGGTTTAGCGCTATGCCTCCTCCACAGCCACACACATACTCATCAGCGGCCCAAAAATACACACATGCACACACGCACACACACTTAGGCAAGATGCATATCAACACTCTCTCTACCCGTCAGTCTCTCTAACACTTGCTCTCATTCACTCACACACATGCACAAACACACAGAGCGAGTGGAATCCCCCAGAGGGGAGCTTCGGCACGGCGCTCCTGAATCTCTCTCCAGCAGGCAAACAGAGTGTTGGCAGTGAGCGAAAACCAGTTGGAGCGTTGTCCCACTTCCTCTCGTTTCTTGCTCACACTTGCTCACTTCTTTTCTCTCATCCTGCTTTCCATTTCTTCTCCCCCTCTCTTCATTGTCTCTCCTTCCTCCACAGCTCGACCCTCACTCCCACCCCACCCCACACACATACAAACACACTTACTTCGCACCACCACCACCCACTCTTCACCCCTCCGTTTCATCTCTTGTTATTATCAGCTGCAGCCCAGAGGACAGCCCCGGCAGATTTCATCCACAGATTCATTAATCTGTCATCTGTTGGGGTGTTGCCTCTCGCTTCTCCCGTTCTTCCGCCCTCTCTAGCCCTCCTCTCATCTCTCTGTCAGTCTGTTCTCTCTCCGTTGCCTGCCTTTCCTTTCCTCTTCCTCCCTCCATCCGCTCTGCACTGAAAGAGAGAGAGAGATAAACACTTGGACTAGACGGCAGGCTAGAATTAGCATAGAAATGGAAGTTTGGAGTCATTCCCCAGGTTCAGATGAGCAGCTTTCCTCCCCTCTACACAGGACTGTTAGCAGGACAGAGTGTATCTCAATGTATGTGAGTCATGCCTTTACAAATATTTTATATATATATAATAAATTACTGTCAGTGTTTTCTGTTTTTTACAAGTCTGCAAATATGTCTGCCCAGTCCCACACTAAGTTGAATCTTCCACACAGATACAAACACATACCCACAGTATTGAAACACACACTTGTCTGACTCGGACAGGCCCCATATCAACACGCTGATGCTGCTCCAGTCCAATGAGAAACAGTCTGACTACTTAGTGCTGGATGCCCAACTGTCGCAGCCCTAGACCAGAGAAAACGTTTCCAGCTCTTGAGCGCCTCTCTCAAATCTCTTTGTTCCGCTTCCATTACACTGTGTTCAGAGCCCAGCCATCGTAACTGGCTGCCACAGTGGCGTCCAGGCCCAACCGGGGCACACAGACACACAGTCACACACACTCGTATGTGCACGCGCAGGATCTGGCAGGCTAAATACAGTTGAGTCACACTTAGTCTCCTCAGTGTGTGTTGGCGCCATCTCTAGTATTATGGAGCATTTGTGTGTGCATGTGTGTTTGTCCAGCACAGGAACACACTCAGTTCCTCCTTTCCCTAATTTCTCTCCCACAGGAACTGTAAAGGAAAGGACTGTTTGCAAATGTGTCTGCTCTTTCTGACTTGTGTGCTTGGTCTTTTTTCCTTGGGTCGTTGTTACACATGCACCCATACATAGAAAATATCAGACGTTAAACTCTACTTTCCCTCTGTGTTTGCTCTCTTTAGGAGGTGGTACTATACTGTCTGGAGAACAGAGTATGTGAGGTTAATCACAGAGACTACGCCGGTTATTGTGCTCTCCACGAGGCATGCGCCCGCGGCTGGCTCAGCATAGTCCAACACCTGCTGGATTACGGGGCCGATATCAACTGCAGTGCACAGGATGGCACCAGGTAAACAAATACACTCATTCATATGCATGGAAATCACAGAAACGTCTGCTTACATAAACACATCTCCTATGCACAATGCAAACATGATCATGGCATGTCCTTACAGGGAAAGCCAGGGCTTAGTCATCAATTAAGTCACTTGAGTTTGCTCATAACACAATGCCTGGGACTGGTTTTGTATTTGCTTGGTTAGAGCAGTGATTTGACAGATTATCTGCAGTTTTAAATGGGGAAATGCTAGTGCTTTCACTGCTGTGTTATGAAAATTTACAGTAGGGGGTCTGTTCTTGGAAACTGTGCACGGGTCTTAAAGGTGCATTGTGTAGCAGTTTAGCTTTTATCAAACTATTACCAGATTTGCACCATTCGTAATATTACAGTACTGAGGTTTTTTTAAATTTATGTCCTGCAAAGTCAGAGTTTAGAGGAAATGTAAAGAGGGCAAAAAAGTGTGTTCTCTTATGTTTCACCGAGTGGCACACTGTGCCACTAAAAGTATCGCTGTCAACATTTGATTTGAGAAACTACTAGTAACAATACTAAATAATCAGTTCAATCAATAATAAAGAATCAGTTATCGCCGTTAATTTGACAGTAATATATATATGTGTATATATGTATGCATACATCTTTAACCTCTGTCCTGATTTTGTGGCCATGTTGTCAGTGCTGTTCCTGTTTGATCCTTAAATTAAAATGAATGTAAATTTGTGTGGGTCTAGACCAATTCATGATGCTGTGGAGAATGACCACCTGCACGTGGTGCGGGTCCTGCTGTCTTATGGCGCTGACCCCACCCTGGCCACATATTCTGGCCGTGGCCTGCTCAAGATGACCCACAGCGACAGCATGGAGCGTTTCCTCACTGGTAAGATCCCAGCTGGCTTTTCATAAACACTGTTAAGCCAGGGATTTAGAAATACTGAGGTCATTAGTTGCAATCCACATACAACGTTCAAAGTCCCTTTGAGATCAAACATAATTTTTCCCCTCCTTCAGTCATCACGCTCATTCAGATTTTCAACCTGAATCAAAGTTCCTGGATACAAAATAGAAGTGATGACTTGGGGATTTGAGGACTTCTATTTAAGTCAAGCGTTCCCTTGCAAGCGATGTCAGCTAGAAATAATGGTGATCTTTTATTATCCATGAATTAAGATAATAAACATCCAAGTACTGAGAAGCAGCAACTGCAAAGTACACACATGCATCTATAGATGGCTGGTTTTGTCATGCAAACAACAGGCATACAGTTCCAAACCAACCCAAATCCTTAGATACAAAAATACAGAGGACATAACCTTTGTCTTAAATCTAAGAGTCTGATTTTATTGCCTAAAATTTACAATACACTGCTGTTATGCATTTAACTGTTTTGCAATAAGTGCAATAGTATATATAAAATTGGTCTAGAAAGTGGATATCGAAGTGGGGCAAGGGTAAATTGTAGAAAAGATCGGTCAGCAACCCACTTCAAAAAAATGCTCCAGTCTTGGCTCATTCACTGTTTGCTGTTCTTTCAATGCAATGACCTCTGTGCAACCTGTTCCTTCTCTGTAAATCCTCATCCACCTCCTCACAATCGCTGCTACAAGACATGCCCATCTCAGTCATTCCGTCCCACTACCCCTCCCTCGACCACCTGTTAGAAAGGGAGTCTCAGCCCGCCGGGGTGCGTGCTGCTGCCTCTGAGCTCCTCTATCTGGTTACTTAGCAACGCCAACTGTGTTTGCTCAGCGTACGTGTGGAAATGGGCTTCGCTCTGGCTGGAGACTCTGCTTTTGTATGCGTGCATGTGAGCGCCTGAGTGTGTCCTCTCAAACGGCTGCCACGCTAGAGTCTGACGTGGTTTGTATTTGGGGCGTTTGTGTCAAGAGGGCTCCTCTGAATATTTGTAATTAAGAGACAACAGGACCAGTTTATGTACAGGACGAGGAAGTGAAAGCACGCACATGCACACGCTTCCTGTGTAGCCAGCTGCTTAATATTACATGAGCATCTAACTAGTTAAACCTGATGATCTGAGATACACGAGAGAGGATTTAGTAAAAGAGACAGGATGCAGGAGAAGAGATGGTAGGTCAGGGTGAAAATGAACAGGTGTGAGTTCACGGTCTGCAGAAGGGTGAACAGGTTTAGTGCAAAAGGGAGATTTATATGTAGATGGCTGGAAAGATGGTGTTGAATTTTGAGAAGAGCTTGGATGGATAGATCGATGGCTGCTAAGATTGACAGAGCTGGGAGAGAGGGAGATCGAGCACCGGAGAAAATGAGCGAGAGCGATTTGCTGCCCTCCCTCCACCTGGTCCCACTCATCTGGAGGCCGTTAATCCCTCCAAACACACGCCAGACGCCCCACGCCTCAGTACTGGCACAAAGCCCAGCTCTCTCTGTGTGTGTGTGTGTGTGCGCGCGCGTGTGTGCGTTAGCGCGCGCGTGCTGAATACACACTTTGCTCTCGCTGCATGTGCTTATGCAGCTCCCTCTGCTTATTTCTCTCTCTCTCTCTCTCTCTCTCTCTCTCTCTCTCTCTCTCTCTCTCTCTCTCTCTCTCTCTGTCTATATATATGTGTGCGCACTGTGTGTGGTTCTTGTTTGATTCCTGGCAGCCCCGCTCTGAACTGAGCCAGCTCTAACCCAGCGGAGACAGTCGCTCTCCTCCCCTGTGGTACAGCCGCTGGCCCCTGACCATCAGCCCTCCCCCAGAACATTTGCTCTGTTTGTTTCTCTTTTCTCTCTTGACACCGCCCCTCCTCCTCCTCTTCTATTTTACTATGCTCTTTATCCATTTTTCTGCTGTAGTCTTAAAGGGCAATGGTATTTGCTTCGTTGCCTGACCTCAGGGCTCCAGCTCTTGAATAACAGGCTTCGCTCTTCTCTTCTCTCCATAGATTATTTTGCTGACCTTCAGGGCCGCACAGATGACGACCCAGGGCTTTATTGGGAATTCTATGGCAGCGCTGTGTGTGGTAAGTACTGATCAGCGAGTGTGTCTGTGTGTGTGTTTTAGTGCGAACAAAGTCTCTATTTTTAAACCTCTTCATCTACTGTAGCTTTTGAACGATAAACCTCTGCGTATTTTTTATGATAATGTGGATGCTCACTAAAAATTATTCATGTGTATTTCTTTATGTGTGTCAGAGTCAAGTGAAGAGGGCGGTATCTACGACATCCTGGCCGACCCCCCGGGCCCAGAGGATGAGGACGAGGATGATAAACGGGAGGTGTTTGAGTTTGAGTTCTCTGACCGCCCTCTGCTGCCTTGCTATAACATCCAGGTGTCCCTCTCCCAGGGGTGAGCTTTGATCTCAAGAGCAGGCAATTGTTTAGATATTTTTTTTCCTCTGTCGGCCCTCATTCCTAAACATTGGCTGATTTCTTCTTTCAGGCCCAGAAACTGGCTGCTACTGTCCGATGTGCTTCGTCGGCTGCGGATGTCGGCTCGCGGTTTCCGACAGACCTTCCCCCACATGGAGGTTGTGACGGTGGCAGAGGCAGAGTTTTACCGGCAGGCCTCTCTGTCGCAGCTCTTCTCCTGCCCAGAGGAGTTGGAGGGCTTCCAGCCGGATAGCAAGGACCTGTTGGACCTGGTGGAAGACAGCGCTGAGCTGGCCGCTCTTCTGGGCTCCACACTAGAGTGTCTGGACGACCGCTGGGACCACCCGGGGAATAAACTGAAGGACAAAATAAAGGCTGTGGGCAAGTTGGGCTCATCCTGACCCCTGAAGCCAATAGACCCAGACCTTGATCCTTACCGACTGCAGTTTTCTTTAAAACCAACCAGGGGTTATGATGATATGCCTTAGCCTGACCCTTAGTTCCCATGCTTCGGCCCTGCACTGTACAGATGGACTGACTGGCTGCCGAAACGTTTCATCCGTTAACTGAGGATCAATACATTTGTGACTCCATAGGCTTAATAATGGTCTTATTTTTATAAATTAATATATGTATAAATAAATAAATAAATATAAAAAAATATATATATAAAATATCAAGTTTTTTGTTTCTTTCGGACGTTGCTCATGACTCCCCTCTGAAAGATTTTGTGTGGCAACAGTGTGTATTCGTGTTGTCAGCGATTGGATGGAGTGTGTGAGCGCGCAGCACATTGTGCCTGTGTGTAGCTGTACAGGATAGTACTGAGACTGTGCTATTGAATATGGTATTTGTGTTTATAGGAAGCACATGATGTCCTGTTTTATTTTTTTGCTTTTCTCTCCTCAGACTTTAGCGCTCGCTTGAGCCTCAGGGGCTAGTTTGTTGTATCTTTTTTTTAAATGTTCAAATTTTGCTTCCTGTTTAGTCTGTAATTTAACAAGCAAAACTACAAAATTGTTTGTATAAAAAAGTTTTAAGATAATGTTGATATTCACCCTTCGGCACAGAGCTTGTATATAACAAGGAGGCTACTGCAGTAAAGTAATTTTTGGTGTGTTCATTTTTGTTTTAACTTTGTAATTAAAATATCTCATAATTTGTATTTATATTTTACAAAAGAAGTTGCTTTAAAATAAATATACAAACTGCAAGAGGAAACGTCTTTTGTGCCTATTTTGTCAATGTTGAATTAGTTTTTAGACTGTCCCATCAAATTCAATCTTCTTGCCTGTCATAGAGGTGTGACAAACACAATCCTACATTGCCATCTCTTGGAATATTTTTGTAGTGTAGGTGTCATTCATTTATTATATTTCTGCAGCCATGACTGAGCAACACCTGAACTACCATCTGCTGATGTTCTATGTTGAAAAGCTTGTGGCTTGCAGCGCCCTCCACTGTGCAAAAACTGTTTTTTAGATGGTAAATTTAATGGACCAATGTCTAAACTGTGTGGGTGTTGTATTTTTTTTTTTAATCATACATTTTTTTTTATTGGTATGATCATTCAAATTGAAAAGGCCAGGATACCCACATTCATATTTTATATGAATTTGTTTTGTTGTCTGCATTAAGGTAGGATTAAGGGCAATGTGTGTGTGCTGTGTTTCAGTATTTGGTAATTTACTGAAACGAGTACAAATAGATTTGGGAATATGCACCTCTTAATTGCAAAATTAACTGAAATGATAACCGCTTTAAGGTAATGATTATTACTGGGTCTTTTAGCTCTGTGTCAAAATATAGTTTAAATAGGATGTCTAGTGATGCTCTATATATTTTTCCTATATATTTTTCTTTTTCTTCGTTCCACCAAAAGATCAAAACCCAGAAAAAATTAATCCAACTAACAAATATTGTTGTAACCAAACTGATATATTTTATTATCCTATTCCACTGACCTCTTATTACTGTCAAAAAGCATAAATGAGCCACACTTGTAGTGAGTCATGTGTTTCTTCACCATTGGCACTCTAGTTTGATTGGAGTCATTCCCGCCTATGCCATCCTGCAACCAGAAATACTAACACAAAATCCATGGCTTGAAATAGTCCTCAAATAATTCTCTGTTTACTCACATGTGAAAACTAAAGTGCCCAGCTCATTTAAAAAATTATGAGGCATTTTCAATACAAAACATATTTGGGACAAATAGAAGTTCTGGATTTCAGTGGCTGTAAAAGACACTCACAGTCCCACGGTCTGGGAGGCTCTGAAGAACGCGCACAATGAGCAGCAGTGTGTCAGCATGACGATCTGGCTGAGCTGCAACTAAAATGGTGTCTTAAGTAAGGGAGAGCCTCACAAGGCAGATAGACTCCGAACTGAATTCCCAACTAGCCTATCTCTGCAGAGTGGGTGCAAAGAGATCCCTGGCAGGCTGCCAAGAGCAAGGGTGGGGGGTCTTTAGTTGATCCACAAGTTGACAATGGAGCTTTAGAGAGGGAACCTAGTCCCTCAAGCCATAAATAAACCCCTGGAGAAATCCTCTGATGAAAGAGAGAAAGCAGACTAAAATCATTATCATCTAGCTCTAGGATGATCTTAAGACTTCTACGTTGAAAAGATTTTCTAAGAATGTGCAACATGAATGCTTGTTTTGTTTGGCAGCAGAGTTCAGAGAGCTTTATGGAGTGAAGTCAGAGCTTTAGCTGCTGTCTCCAGGCAGAGAGGAGACGGCCCAATTCACATCTCCAGGTAAAGGTCATGGAGTGACAAGAGACTGTCAAACAGCTAATTGAGATGCTGAAAAAAGAAGAGTTCAGCCTCACAGACCTTAGTTTCTCAGCCCAAACACTGAAGTCATAGAGTCATATTCTGAGGGAGAAGGTGCAGGAGGGTCACACTCACCCTCTCAACAGCAGAATGTAGTTTTAGATATAAAGGAACATCTCTGAACATAAGCCTCTAATAACCAGCTATTATGGTTCATAAATGGACATTATAAAGGTGAAAAAGTGTAAAAGTAAAAATTATTTTTTGTGCTCTATTTGGTTGTTACTGTGTGCCGAAACCTCTGCTCCAGTCCACACAAACAGACAAACCAGTTTAGGTAAGAAATATATATAGGTTGTTACACACCATACAAAGAAATGATAGTTTGCCAACTCCTAAACAAACAAACAATAAACCACACTCAGTACACAGGAAATCCATAAGAGGCGAGGAAATGAAACCACTTAATTTATTGGAAAGTCCTATTTAGGGCTGCAATGATTATTAATTCATCATTATTTTGATTAATCGTCTAGTCAATTAAATGTTGGAAAACAGAGAAAAATTTACACATTTCCAAATGTGATGTCTTCAAATGACGTTTTAAAAGTCCAACAATCCAAAACCCAAAGATATTCAGCTTACTCATTATAATATGGAAAAGAGAAAAGTAGCAACTGGAGAAGATGTGACCAAAAATGTTTGTTCCTTTTGCTTGATAAAGGTTAATTGATGATGATTTTTTAGTGTTTATAAATTTTCTGCAGATCAGATCAGCTGTCAGTTAATTGATTGTTTTGTTCCAGCTCCAGTCCCATAGCTCCCACCAGTGGCAGAAGACTTTAGTACTAGTAGCGATACCACAGCATAGAAATACACTGTTACAAGTAAAACTACATGTATTAGCATTACAACATAGTAACAAAAGTAAATGTATTCATTCAGCAGAATGGCCCATTTCAGAATCATATATATTTTATCACTGGATTTATTAGCTGTTAATGTTTTCTGAATATGTGACATTGACAGTGGCATATCTTGGGCTTGGACCCCCATTTCAAGAAATCTCCTCGAGAACATATTGTAGGGGACAGAATAGTTCGGACCAGGCATTGAAAAATCCTACTTTCATACTTTCTTAGATGAAAAGCAAGGCAACTTAAAATGTAATGTTTGTTGCCGATGCAATTTTACAACAAAGAGCACTCATTTGAACCACAACTGTAATGGGAGGAGTATTAAGATAAAAGGCAAGATCGCCTGTTCTACAACAAATGTAAAAAAAATATGCTGAAGTGTCCCTGCGGACTGTCTTACGTAAGAAAGAGCCTTGAGAACATTGCAGTGCAGGCCTAAAATACTCACAAGTGATATAAAAGCAAAACATTCTGTGGCCTCTCTGAGATACGAGGAATCGAACATGTTCTACAGTATAATTTCTAACCTACATACAGAAAACCCTAAAAGCTAAACTACCCTAATCCTAACTACCCAGTGGTCCCAAGAAATGCATTACATCAGTCTATCATTGGTTAAATACGTGAACTACAGTAAATAGAGACATTTGGCAAATGGAAATAACAGTACAATTTTTGATGGCCTACTTTAAGTATTCTATTGTACATGCATACAATTTGCTGACTATAAATAGCCAAGTTTTACTAATGAGGTTCTGAATGCAGGACTTTTACTTGTTGTGGAGTATTTTCACAGCATGGTATTGATACTTTTATTTAAGTAAAGGATCTGAATACTTCCACAAGTAACATTATTATCCATGGTAGTTGTTTATACCAAGTACCCACAGATTTGTTCATGTGATTTATACCTTTTCTTTTTTTAAAAATTTTTTGATGCAAAATTCATAAAGCAACAAAAATGCAAAGGATACAAATGATCAAATACATCCTACAATTCCAGAAGCTCTAATTAAATTCAGTTCTTCTAGAACAGTGGAGCTTTTTATTGCTTTTTTTCTGTGTTCTATTGAGGTACAGTAGTGTTTCACTTCAATAGTAAACAGGTTTGGATGTAGTCCATTTTGATTTGTTGATGTGGAATTTTCCAAGTGTGATGAGGAGCTGCATAGCACAGTTGTCTGGACCATGAAGTACAAAATATACATCAAATACATTCATTGACATACTCTTACCCGTTTATTTGTTAATAAAATGTTCCAAAAACTTGTATGTTCACAGTGGTAAAATAGATCAAATGTAGTTTATCTTTCCAGATTGCAAAAATCCCAGTTATAAGCAATGTTAAATGTTTAAAAAAAACACGTTTTTGTCAGGGAAAATCCGATACAATATCTAAAAGGACACTTATTTTACCATATTATTATTCATACAATATTTGTTAAGAATAACACATGCTTTTTTCCACCGTAAATCACTCACAATGTAGCACCAAATGAATTTTGCTGCAGAAACTACGGTATAGTCTAAAACATTCCTTACATATTATTTAGACCTGACATCACGCGCCTGGTGCGCACCCACCACCTGTGTTGTGTCGGGCCAGTTACTGTCCCATGGTTCTTTGCGGTGTCGTGACGTCAGGTCAGCTGAACTCTGCTGTGCCAAGGAGAAAGATGTCGCTGACAAACTGGCGAAAGATGGAGGCTGTATTCTCCGCGGCGTTTCTGCTCTGCCTCCTTGTCAGAACCGGTAAGAAATGTGCAATGAGAGATAGTCATGATTCACTTTTTACGATGTGGTTTTCTCTCACATAAATCTAACGTGTTAACCTCACGTATCCGCTGTATTTGCAAATGACAACTCGCTAAGCTAGCTGGGAAGATCGTTAGCATCGCCTTTTATATTACAGATAAAATCCCATGCAAACGTTAGATATAACACCACTTTACGAAAAATAATGAGAATGTGTGGAATAATGTTGTAGATTTGGATCGGCCTTAGTGGGTTAGAAACTGGAGATCGTAAGAGCTTGTTGCTAACATGTAACGCATGAACCAAAGCTAGCAGGGAGGGTGCGAATGTGTAACTCGTTTCTTGATGGAAAGGTTCAGTAAGTGTTCTTGGTCATATACAATTGAAGGGAAATGTACATTTATTTGCTTCCGTTTAGCTGCCTACTATTTCACAGAAGGTTGTCCTGTCATGTGACGGCTATAAACTGGTAGTTCCTCTTTAACATTCATCATCCGCATTCTGTCACGAGTTTGTGCCTCCATCCACCGCGAAGTAACATGTTCATGGGTCATCTTTACCCTGACCCGTGAAGTCCAGTCAGGCTGCCGGTATTTGCTGTAAAGTTCAATTAACACAGTGGGAATGAACTGTAATACTACCCTGACAGGAGTGATTGCTTCTCATTTCAGTGGATGATGTGTCCCACTGTTACTGATTATGTTAAATTATATACCGTAAATGCTCAATTCAAATATCTCTAGTCTCATGTAAAGCTATACTGTT